AAGACTCAATAGAATGCCATGACATCATAGCTCACAGCAACCTCAAACTCCTGGGCTCAAGCGATTCTCTTACCTCAGCCTCGCAAGTAGCTAGGACTACAGGCTCTCACCACAGTGCCCAGCCATTTTTTAGAGACAGGGTCTTGCACTTGATCAAGGTGGTCTCGAACTCCTGAGCCCAGATAATCTACCCACCTTGGCCTCCCAGAGTGCTAGGATTTTTTTTTTTTGAGACAGAATCTCAAGCTGTCACCCTAGGTAGAGGGCCATGACATCATGGCTCACAGTGAAACATCCACCTGGCCTTCCTTTCCTTTCCTTTCCTTTTCTTTCTTTTTTTTGAGACAAGAGTTTCACTATGTCGCCCTGGGTAGAGTGCTGTAGCGTCATAGCTCACAGCAACTTCCAATTCCTGGGCTTAGGCAATTCTCTTGCCTCAGCCTCCCAAGTAGCTGGGGCTACAGGCGCCCACCACAATGCCTGGCTATTGTTTTGTTGCAGTTTGGCTGGGCCAGTTCGAAACTGCCACCTTCGGTATGTGGGGCCGGCGCCCTACCCACTGAGCCACAGGCACTGCCCCTTCATTTCCTTTTCAAAAGCATGCATCCTCCTCCCTTAGGCTTTAGGGGGTCTCAGCACTCCCCCCCAGTCTTCCTCTGTCCTCACCCTCACCAAATTCGCCTCACCTTCCTTCCTCAAGAACTTGCTTCACATGGGCAAAAGGAAGAAATAAAAGGACTTTTCTCAGTTGTTCTGACTAGACAGCTGTTGTATATGACACCTTGCACATTCACAGGTGTTCTGAACATGGCAGCCATTTGTATTAGTAGTAGGGAGAAGCCCCAGATCCCTGGAGAAGTGGAGTTAGTGTGTGGTCAAAAGAGGATCTGGATGGGCCAGAATTAGGGAGAAATTTCAGGAGATAGGTTCTGCATGGGACAAAGGTAAGGAGGCTGGAAGAAGGAGCTGAGTGGGCCTAGCTGGAAGGGACCCAGGGTGAACCTTCTGCAGTTGGGCTGCTCCTTGCATGTCCCCACCTGCCATCTCCATCTTGAGCATGAATCCCAGGCCTGATCCTGAGCCTGGGTCAGTGGGTGGGTGTCCAGGGTAGGCTTCCTAAGAAGGAAGCGTCTGAGCCCTGAAAGATGAGTAGGTGGGAGAAACGAAACTGAGTGTCCAGAGAGGAGAGCAGGGTGGGGCCAGCCACAAGATCCTTTCCTGCTCTGTGCCACAGTGTCCTCATTTACTCATAGTAGTTGCTTGGCACCTGGCTTCCCTCTCCCTTCTGCCTGGCCCTTGCTCATGTCCCCCGGGGCACCTGGCACCTCATGTGAGATGAGCAGTGTAACTGGTTCTTATCAGTGATATCGCCTGCCAGGCCAGGCCCCATGCCCACCTGAGGTTCCCAGTAGCTGGGACAGCCACAGAAGCCTGGGGGGGAAAGGGCAGAGGCAAAGTGTCCTGGAACAGTGGCAGGCAACCCAGTCAAGGCCAGGGTACTGTGTGAAAAGCTTTACAGAAATAAATATATTTGGCATTCTCTGTGAAGCTTTACAGAGGTGCATTTAAAATCCTAATTTTTTTTTTTTTTTTTTAGACAGAGCCTCAAGCTGTCCCCCTGGGTAGAGTGCGGTGGCATCACAGCTCACAGCAACCTCCAACTCCTGGGCTCAAGCGAGTCTCCTGCCTC